CCTATTCCTCCACCGCGCAGCACTAACCCCGAACCCCCAACCAGTCCCATTGCGGGACCCTCACGCCCCCGCCCCGATACACCCGTCGTCTTTCGCAAAGTCGACCCCGACTGGACACCCGACACCACTCAATGGACGTGGGACAGCTCCTGGCCGCATCAGAAGCACCTCTCTGGCGAGGAATGGATGAACGTGGGGAGGAATGCGCGCAAGGAGTGGTTCGACGAAGAAGAGGATGACGGCGTAGATTGGGAGCTATACGGAGATGGTGAGCAGTAAGTAGTCGAATGGGACTTCGACTCTGGCAGGGGGGTAATGAAACATTTGTCTTTCCGTTCTATTCCTTGTACTACTAGCGCCCATACTGGCGCCTGTCTTAGCGCTCACCCGCAGGTTGAACATTATGTAGCTTACATAATGGGGTCCGTGCGCACTTCGTGCCTGGTATCGTACCACTACGTTTCTTTCTTCACTAACACGACCACATAGACACGATGGTCCGTGCGCAGTCGGTACTTGTATAACTAGTTGTACCATTAGTCGGTCGAACCCTAAGTTCGACCTGGTTATTCATTCAAGTCTCTGCTCCTCCTCGCTTGGGGTAGTGGTCATTCTCGACTTCCTCGCTCGATCTTCAGGACGACGCACTGTCCATAAGTCCTCGCTCGTTGTCTACGAGTCAGGCATCAATATAGGAGTATAGACCGTTGTATCAGTCAGAGGTGCTGTCAACTCCATGAGATCCCATATGTGGACAGTATGGTCACCTGAGGTAGACACGAGCTGGTTTCCATCCGGCGAAAAGTACAATGACCTCACAGCCTTCGAGTGCCCTCAAAGGACCACAACGCAGTCTCCAGATTGTGCATCCCAGATCTGGATTGTGCAGTCTTCTGATCCGGAAGCAACTCTGTCATCATTGGGCAAAATAGCAAGGCAATTGACCCAATCAGTGTGGCCTGTCAAAATGAATAGGCATTCCCCTGAGGTGATATCCCAGATGCGGATGATGCTATTCATGCCACCAGAGGCAAGCCTAGAGGTGTCCTAAGGGAAGAAGATCGAGTCCTGGGGGGGCTCAGAATGACCATGTAGGGTTTTCACAATGTCACCGCTGTCGCGGTCAAGGATATTGATATCTGACATGTCTCATGAGGAGATGAGTGTACCGCTGCAGGGGAAGTTGGCGAAGCGTGTGGCAACATGGGATCCTTCGCCAAATATCTGCAATTCCCTGAACAAGTGAGCATCCCACATGGATATGCCCCAACTGGCGCTCATGGTGAGGATTTTGCTTCCATCCACAAAAAAGCTAATTTTGTGCAAAGACATGCCAGCAATGTCTAGTACATACAGTGGCGCCCCGGTCGCAAGGTTCCACACTCGTACATCTCGACCATATGAGATAATCCTGGAATTGCCAGGAGAGACATCGACTGAGTAAACACCTGTGCTATGTCCTGCCATAATATTGAGAGAAATGCCAGAGCTCGCATCCCACATTTGTACGGTGCCATCATTGATTCCCGCTATGATCCAGCATCTGTTTGGGGAATATATGACTGACTGTACGCCTTCATCCTGCCCTTTGACCATGCACACACACAAGTCCCACCACGGAGCACGAGGAGATAGCATCTTGAGGCACTTCAACTCCGTGTCCAGCGCGGAATACATGTCAACAAGCCGGCAGCATGGAGCTGTGGGAAGGGCGGAAATGTATATATGCTCTGGACAGCTGTCAACCAGATTGAAGTACTCTAATGCAAAGCAATATCTGTCGTATATGAGCTGTAATGTGTCTTTTTCGCCAGTGTGACGGCTCTGTCCCAAACATACCTCAATATGAAGGTCCCAGCAGAAGGTAAAGGGGCTCTTACCTGGTACCAGTTGCGCAAATCAAGTAGTGCTCCGGGTGCGCCATCTAGTCTATCCATGAAGCTCAATGTCTGCAGCCAGAGTAGGAGTTTCATAGAACAGAAGATGCCAAGGTACTCGGTTAGCTTCAGTGTAAACTCCGTGCTACAGAGGTGGAATGCCCAATGTACACATGCATACTGGACATGAGATGGTATTTGACATTGGACGAGGGCCGCAAGGTTCTCGATTTCATCTTTGAAAGCTGCAGGGTCGGGAAGGTCACAAATGTTTTGCCGCAGATTACCACATCTGTTCAGCGTGAACAGACATGTGTTGGCCAGATCAACATGATGAATGGCAGGGTCGATGTAGAAGCTCGGATGCCAACAGTGGTCGCTATCAATAAGAAATTGGGGGGAAGCTAGCATGCAGTGGGCGAATCCGACTGTCGTCCTCATCAAGCAGAATGACTGATCCCAGTCACCTGATTATGAACCAGATGTCAGTCACAGAAACCCCCACCAGCAGCTCCATGGTGCTTGGTGCAAATTGGTCCTGCAACAGTGTGATCCCTATGAGAACAGTCTTCAGTATATGAGCTATACGCGGATTCGGTGGGGTGCCCAGGTAGTCCTTGAACACATTCTTCAACACCAGCATGTATAGCACATCGAGCTGACTTAGATTGGAGAGGCTGTCCAGGTTGCCATCCACGAGGAGAGTGTTCAGATTCTCGACAGCATGTTCCAGATCACATAATAAGACGTTAATTGTAGTCGAGGTGTAGATAAACAATCCCTCTGCCTTTTTCATGAGCTCGACTATCGCATCAGGTCGCACATGAAGTAGTTCAGCACTGTCACATAGCTTGGAGACCCTATCCTCCAGGTACTGCATGATGTTGTGGTTGATGACAACACGTGGAATGTCCTGGAGCCTGAAGTGGTTGCTCTCCTTCCTGAATTCTACCAACTCAAAAGCAGTCTCGATGTGGTACTCTGGGTGCGATGTGATGAGGACGTGGAACGGGAATGGGACCTCTGGCACCCAGTGTGTGAGGAGGTAGAGCATCTTAGGAATAAGGTCTTGGGCAAGCTTGGTGCACTTGTTGATGGCCTCGATGATGACAATGACAGGATGGTGGCTGGCAGGCACTTTCTTTAGTGGTCAAATGATGAGCTCATCGAGTTCAAACTCCATCTGCTGTTTGTTACCATGCTTGAGAAATGCGCGTGTGGCTTCTAGGATGTGTGGCATCAAAACAGGCTGCTGCTGGGCAAGCTGATATGCAATCGTGGGAAATATGAAGTGGGTCATGGACAGATCCTCCACACCCCGGACAAAGAAGAAGGAAGCGCCAAGCATCCCGTTCTGTTCAAGCAGCTGCGCCACCTCATATGCAATTGTTGACTTTCTTGTACCTGCTGCTCTGCTAAGGACATAGAGAGCGAAGTTGTGTGCACTTGACTCTCCCTTCACCCATTCGTCAATCTCAGAGAGAAGGTCACTTCTTGTTCCGGGAAGTAGACCAGACTTGAGCTCATTGAGAGCAGAATGATAGCTCGTGTTTGCATGGGGGAGACTGTTCAGAGTCTGCATGTCATCTAGGTTTAAGATTCTTATGAGACAATGTATGCTAGCAAGAGGTTATCACTCACTTTCACCTATCTTAAAGTGAGCCAACACCTAAAAGGAGAGGAATAAGTGTCTACCGAGGAGTGACGCCAGGAGGACTTACAGAGACATCCCGGCATACATCGTTCAACATGTCAAACATGCCATTGACTAATGCCTGATATGGATCTGCCCTTGAAACTGGATGATGCTTGGTAAACCTAAGGTAAGCAGAAACAAGGTAGGAAATGCTTACCTCAAAATCACTCTTTGCATCTGCAATTCCTTTGCTCAAATTTTCCAATTTACCAGCATCCTGGCCACTATGAACGAAGTGGGAGAAAAGCGACCCTTCAGCAACTTGCCACACTTGTGTCTGGAGATCCTGGAGATTCCTAAGGCAATATTAAAGCCGAATGAGACTGCGCCTCCATAAAAGCTCGAACCTGATGAGAACTTGAATCCTCCGATTCAACTCAGACGGCACAGGAAAAGAGGTTTCATGTATCCCTGCACCTTCAATCTGTTTGCGAGCCTGTTTGCTGGTCTCTGTAATTAGTGTTGCCAAAGACTTGATGCGCTCGGCAATGTCATGCTTCGCCCGCAGTATTCTTCCTGGTCATCTAGAGACAGAAGATGTTCATGACAGGTCCCTGGCGGAGCACGACTACTGACTTTCACCATATCTATAAGGTCACAGAGCACCATCGCGGCTGTGTCAAGGCCAGGGATAGGAGCCAAGGATAGAACATTGCTAGAGTTCTTCAATAGAAAATGAGCCCCATTGAGCAAGCTGTTGATCATCTCATTAGAGGGCAGATGCTTCTTCAATGAAAGCTTGGGCATGTCTTCAGCATGAGTGCATGCAAATTAGACTCCAGTGATACATGAGATAGTGGAACATACCCTTGTATTCGTTCCACACCTAGTTCATGTAGTATGTATCAAAGGAAGGAGTGAACTTCTAAGAATGTTTGAGCTTCACTGCTTTCAAACACATCTCGGGATGTTGTGATGTGTGACACTTGGAAGGCTGTGCCTGCATGGATACAAATGTGCAACACCAATTAACACTCTTCTACAGCGTAGATTTTATAGATCAGTAATTAATGCATGCCAAGAGATATCTGATGATCGTACTTGATCTGCAAGCTGGAACATCAGGGGGAGGTGTGGATTCAACAACCCGGTGAGCATGGCTTTTCCCGAACCACCATATTGTTCTATTACTGCACTCTCTGAGCCTGGTGCTAGTGTGCATGTAGTACGAGCTTTCTCTGCCTTCATGTTTATTAACAAGGAGCAATCATAAGGTAGTAGTGAGAAGCGAGTGCATACGTAGCAGCAGATGCACACTTCTCGGCAAATTCCGGCAACCCCAAGATTCGGCACAGACCAAGGGGCGAGTGTACCATTGATTTCCGACACCAACCCTAGTCACTAGTGGTGGTAGTGCCTCAATCGGTGACCGGGTCCCCAATTTCACTATCCAGCTCGATTTCCGTAAACAACTTCCTACAAGCACAAATCCTCGAATCAAGCTTCTGGAAGTTTGAAGCATCATATACCCGATATACCTTTAGTCTCTGAGCACCTGAAATGTCGATTTGATAGTGCAGCTCGTGGGCACTTGTCTCACATTTTGAGCGCTATCTCGTCTTGAGTGCTTGTTACATCTTGTGATTTAATCAGATTTGTCACCTCGTACTTCCTCAGGAGTCAGAAGTACTACATATACCACGAAATCCGCAACTTCAGCATGGATTATGTATTTTGGAATGGCAGTGAATGATTGGCTGTATGACAAAACACAAGTCATCTGATTCAATTGTTACTGCAGTATGGACGATCTAATCAGAGATAAGGAAGTCCCATATAAATTGATATAATCGGTGACCGGGCGCCAAACTAACGAGGGTCGACATCAAAAATCAACAGTACGCCTGCCCCTTGGCACAGACTTCTCACTCTTTTTGAAGCCACACTCATTAGCATGCATCTTCCGAGCGGTTTTTTTACTTCCACTTCTGATTAGTCTCGCCAATCACCATAGCCAGCTCTACGACTTTCCTTAACGATATAGGACGTGTAACGCGTGGATACTGGACTTCAATCATGAACATGCACTATGTCCCGTCCCATCGATTGCATATGGAGAATGCAGCCTAGACATTACAACTTTGTTTTCTCTTTTGAGAGTTTGCCGCTTCTCCAAATAGACCTCGCCGTATCTCGCAGTAAACGGCGTAGCAGTTTGCCGCTTGCATTCCTGGGAATCGTGTCGATGAAAGCCACACCCCCCGTGAGCTGTTTGTAGTGAGCCTTCCCAGCTGCCACATACTGCAACCACAATTCAGCTTTGTCAGCGCCCGGAGATCATGGGACATTGGGAAGTATGATAGGAACGCACTTCAACCAGAGCGTGCTTGATGCGATCTGCTTCGACGGCATCCGCCTGGATGCGCAACAGTGCATTGGCGCTGGGTACGACAAAGGCAATCGGTATATCGCCATTGTAATCATCCTGTATGCCGACGATGCAGACGTCCGAAACGTCAGGGTGGTCAAGGAGAAAGCCCTCCAGCTCAGCGGGTGCCACTAAGGCAAGTAACAAGAAAGTCGGCAGTAGTACTCGTCAGAGTGACGACATACTCACCCTGGAAGCCTTTCACCTTGAGTAGCTCCTGAATATTGCAGCGCATTAAAAAGCACGTATACTGTAGAAGAAGGCCACACACCTTAATGCGGTCAACAATGAACAGTTCCCCAGTGTCATTTATCATTACTTCGTCTCCTGTGTAAACCCATCCATCGACGAACGTCTCCCCTGTCCTATCCCCGAGGACGCTGTTCACGTCACGATATGAATCGCAATATAGAGTCACTCACGCCTTTTCATCATTCAAGTAGCCCTGGGCCATTGCTGGGCCTGTAACAACTAGCTGTCCGGGCTCGTTTCTCCCGGCCAGACTTCCGTCCGGCCGTACTATCCGCGCAGAAACACCAGGGATCAAGACTCCAGCGCTGCCGGGCGCACCGATCTTACGGTCGAGCCGAGGCAAGGAGACAGCGACGGCCGTCTCAGTCATTCCTTCATCCGCAACGACAATACTCAATCAGCCCATGGCACTGCGCTCTTTGTACTAGGAAGCTGGAATCAAGAGTCCTTACCATATCCCTGGGCGATCGAGACGTTGGGTAGGACTTCGGACAGTTGTTGCGTCAATTCCCCAGAGAGAGGCGCTGCGCCGGACACAATTGTACGGATGGAGCTCATATTGTGTTTCTTTACGTCCGGATGCTGAAACAGTATCATCGTGAAAGAGATGCAGCCTGGTAGTCGCAGCAGTGCCTACCTTGCACAAGAGTAGCATAATGGGAGGAACAAGTCTGTGCGTCAATGTCGTATGAGAGCACTTTCCGGCGAACTTCGTCCGGACAGCTAACGTACGGGATGTAGTTGATACGGTACCTCTCAATACTCTTCAGGAAAGAGGCGAATTCAAACTTTGGCATAACCACTAACGGCATCTGTAGGCACCGCTGTCAAGACACTACACAAAGAACGAACATATGCACCTACGCCGTTATACAGCATGTAGTGCATGACAAATAGTAGCCCATATATGTCTGCCGGTTGCCACGAGTGTCAAGATGAGATCATCTAATGACTCTGTGCTCTCTGACTCACGGTAAAAAGGTAGGACTAAAAGTGCATAATGTCAATAGCCAAGCGGCATAGACGCTTATTCCACTCGTACCTGCCAATGCAACATCACCCGATCTGCACTGCTTCTTCTCCCATGGGCTCAGGTCCGAGTTGATATACGTGGCTATTTGAACCAGATTCGCGACAAGGGAATAATGTGATATCGCCACCGCCTGTTGGTCATCGACGTCAATCTACACACTTCTGATGTAATCTTCCCAGAACAAAGCGCATTCTCACCTTGGGCAAACCAGTCGTGCCACTGGAGAAGCACAAGAACGCAAGCTTTTTGCGGGCCTCTCCGGGCTTCAGTGGCCTCTCTACGAATCTTGCTGCATGCCCTGCACCTGCTTGAATCATCTCGCTGATCGTACTGTGCGATCCGAAATCAGTCTTTGCGTCTGACGCCCCCTCAACGAGGACAATCTTCTGTAAAGCAATCCCGGACTCGCAAGCCGCAGTTACAGCAACATGATACACCATTGGGTGTACAATGATGAGCGTCGCACGGGAGATCTTGAGCTGATGGACCAACTCCTCAGCGGTGTACGCAGGATTTGCTGGTCTGTCGCAAGGTCACATAGTCAGCAACAGCTGCACAGCATCGAGTAGAGGCTTACGTGACTACGGCACCAATCTTGTGAAGAGCCCTGGACGATCCATGTTAGAACGGCCGAGCCAGTATGATGATGTGAAGCCATTCTGACCAGACTGCCACAGGCCATACTAGGCTCCCACGGTCAGAGGCAACATAGGAAGAATTTACGGAAGCGCACTCACGCACATGATTGGGGCTGAAGATGCAAACTGATAATACGCAGGCCTTCATGTCAATCATACTGGAGAGAAGGTACATATGTACGCACCGACGTCATTGTCGCCTGCTCGTTGTCAAACCCCCATGAAAAGGTAGGTCATACACAATGTTGCTCACCAATATGGAAGCGTGAGATCAGCTCGGCCGCGAGCGCGTTTGTCTCGTGACGAGTCTAGTGGTGGGCCAATGAGAAATAAATATGGTAAGTAGACGATATCAAATAGAAGTTTTCAGGGTCACACCTCTTCTGAGTATATAAGCCTTCCTGTCGCGTCCTCGATCATCAGTGGGCGTTCCACGGGAACGGCGGGACGAGTCGGATGACGATAATTCAACATGAAATGCGCCAGCGTCATGTTATCTGGAATATGCGGAAGCGGCTCTCCTGCGCTATGAATCACAGACATTGTTGTTAGACGGAGAATGCAGAGTTGCAAAACGTTGTGTCTGAACGCTGGTCCCAATCAGCCTCCTTACGAGTGCGAAAGGGGGGAGCTATGCTCACCAAGAATGGCTGTGTAGGAGCTAAACAGGCCTCACAATTGATAAATCCCAGATTGCCCTAACGGGGAGTATCTGATACACGGTGTTGGCAGGGTAAGACGCGTCGAGGACGACGTGTCCGTGACTGCTCTGCAGATATGCCAGTCAGAGTGGTGTAAAAGTAGCACACAAACTCATGCCAGAATCTGGAGGAAAGATACGGACTGGACAGACCCCATGACACATGAGAAACCAAGAAGACATCAGAAGACTACTCCGCGGTGATTGGCGCATGTGAATGCAGACGACGGCTGTCGACGTGCTGTCCCACACGGTGAGCTTGGAGAGTTCTCATCTGCCAACGTTGGGCATTTGGGCGAAAGGCAAGTTACTTGGCTTGTTTGCAGATGGGAGCATCCCAGTCGGTTGTTGTGCGCTTCGTGCCTGAATGTAGCACCTATAAGGTCAATTAGTCCTATACCATACTCGGTTTCTGCTCGGAGCGCTGATCTATGTATCTATTATTAGTGAATCCCTGCTGCATTGCAGAAAAATGGACGCACTGCGCTATCCGTAGACGTCTGATCGCGCGGGATCCATCCTGGTTGATGCGGCGCGGGACCGTATCAGTGGTGTATCGTTACGACACTGGACGCTGATGTTTCTCACCCACAACACTCTTCCATCATTGTAGCTAAGAGCACGACACTATCACAGATCTCATTGTTAATGCGTCCGTTGTGTTTACAACCAGGGTCAAACTGTCAGACATGCCGAGATATGTCTAATCGGAGATCCGAAGTCGTCATTGGACATTGTTTCATACTCCCAAGCTCGGTACAATGACAGATCTGAACCTCGCTACATTCCGGCGTTCATACGCCTCCTGGGCCTTCCCAAGCGGGAATCTTTCTGTCATAACTTTGATGGAATGTGTCTTCACAAAGTCGAAGCACTCTTCGGATTCAATGGGAGTTCCTGCAACGCCGATATCCAATGACAACTGGAATTCCACCAGCATGCCTATTTGCACGCACATCAGAAGCATCAGTACGAAGTGGAATAACACCTACCCCAATGCATATTCACACGCTCTGTCACGGCGATAAGCATGAACTGGCCGCCATGTGTGAGGCCCAACTGAACGCTTTCTATTGCGTTCGGGTCTGGGTTTGTGCAGATCACGACCTGCGCACCGCCCATCTTCTTGAGTTCTTGCGCGTGGCTGACGCCCGCCGAGCTGTCGATGAACGCATCCACACCAAGCTCGTACGCGAGCTTCTCTTTGTCGGGAGACGTTGAAAGAACAACGGTGCGGTATCCCATTGCCTTGGTGAATTGTACTGCAAGGTGACCCACACCCCTGGATGCGGGAACGCGTAAGCCAAAACAGAATCTGATGGTAAGCTGCGCGGAACATACCCCATTCCCTGTACAGCAATCAAGTCAGGAGGTGCCGCGTTCATCTTACGGATGGATGCTGTGACATAGCGATCATCAGCCTTCTATAAGCGGCAATGGCAGAAGAAGCGTTACGTACTGAAACAGGTGACACCTGCACAGAGGAGAGGTGCCGCCTCCGCTGGATCAATATCATCCGGGACGTGAGCTATTGCTTCTGTACGGAGAGTGACATATTCCGCGAAACCACCATCTCTTGCAATGCCTGTACTCACGACAGGCAATCAATATACATATGCTCGGACTCCGAGATAGCACTGACCATTCGTCTGCTTCTTCGCACAAAGTGAGAACCTGCCTTGGCGGCATCGTCTGCAGGTCGAGCAATGACCCCCATGCCATCCAGCGCCAACTCTCTGACCGATCTGCCATACAGTCTCAGTTGGCGGGATCGCAGCAACATCCCCAACTATCTCATGACCTGGAATGCGCGGGAAGGCCGTTCCTGGGAGAATTTGGTACTTTGCCATTTCATCACTGTGAAAGACGCATGGTGAAGTGTAAGTAAAGACTGATGCGAGACGGCAGCTCGTACCTAGCGCACACGCCGCATGCGAGCACCTTCACGACGATTTCGCCTTGTTCCGGGTCCTTCCATTGGACCTCGATTGGTTTGAGTTCCCCCCCTTTCTCTAAGAACGCATAAGCTCTGTAAGTCTCAGGATGCGACATAGAGATAATGAGCAAGTGTCAAGTTGCGGGAGAGTTTGCAGGACCTTTTGCTCCATCTGACCCACATGATATAAGTCTTAACTACGCGGCCGATGAATGCTAAGAACAGCGCGAGAGAAGGCTCACGAAGCGCCATCTACTTTTGAAGTGGCTACTTCGTATTCACATCTTGTCATTGCATATCCAGATGTGTATCAACGGGACAAGCGGAATCAGAGATCAAATGATGTTCCGCCTGACACGGCGTATCAAAGAGTCTGTGCTGGATCCATGTCAGTGATACATGCATTCTTCCTGCATCATTGCGATTGGTGAATTGTTGCCAAATATACATACACACGGAGTACACTCAGGCAGACTGCCATCATACCGCGTCGAATCAGAGACAGAGAGGCGAGTCGATACCCACGCGCGAGTGCGAGGTTCCTGCAGATGTGAGCCTCTTTTCGCGGAGGTAGCACACTTCTTCGGCCTCCGGTGATCTGTGCATACAGCGGCCACACGAGTCAGCCGCGTCTACGACATCTCGGGTTGACCAAGGCTCGAGGACGTCTCCAGTCTGAGCAGACCATGACAGGGTGGCCTAAACTGAGAACCGGGCAGTAGGCGCCCTACGATGGAATTGACAGACGCGAAGATGAGATGGCGAGAGATGCTCAGCATAAGACACATTGCTGCACAGGGCTGCAGGCATGTTCAGGATGTGGAGACTCGGGAGGGCCATGTGAGCGTCTCCGGGCCATAGTCTATTTGTGCATGTTTGCAATCAGTGGCTGGCACCTCATATGATGGTCGCCATTGCATTTCGCGTTTTCCCGCCACCAGATTGAGTGGCTCTGCCCTGATCTGAAGACCACAAGTCTACCATTACGGTATTTTCCCATATTCTGTCCAAGGCGGGGCTCAATAGTGGCCCCTGCCCAGAATTCGGCCTTGGTGCTTACACTCAGCTAGTAGCGATCCGTAGAATCCTGGTTTGCTTACTGTCTTCTCCTGCGTCTATCCAATATGTAGGAAATCGTGATTCTTAACTGCTTTTTGACCGGTAATGGGATGCTTGGTCTAACATTACCCCTAGTTTGAAAGTGATGTCAGTGATGTCACGAGCAGCCATCACGATCGTCAGGGTGTGGCTGTGTTTGTCCTACAAGCGCGCGAGGCTACATTCTGTTATGCGCTCTGCTTCGTGGCCGATCTGTACCCTGGCAAGCTTTGTTGACTGGATCACTAAGCCTGGCAAAATTCAGTTCAAGATGAAATCAACAATGTTGCTCAACCTCATTCGGCCTCACGCGGCTCATCTTGATCAAGCTCGCCAAGCTGTCATTACCCGTCCACAGCTGAAAGGAGTGTCAACAGTGGCAAACATAGTGCAATCTCAGCCAACATAGCCCCTGCGCTTTCTAGGTAACAGGAACAAAATATAGAAATCACGCGAATGTCTATTTTGGCGCTTAGGATGTTGTCAAGCAAGCATTGGCGCACGCCAAAGGTTTCGAAAGTTGCCTGTATTATTAGCTGTTCCAGCATTGCTACATCATGATGTACCCATCACGTCCGCCTGCCATCGCCGCCTCTGTTCCTCAAACATGTATATAAAGCTCACTTTCATGGTCTGTCGATGCTTGTGGCGCTGTCGCAAGTAATTATCCCTGTGCCTTTTCCATGCTAGTTTCCCTGCTCTTCCTCTCCACCATCGCTGCGTCCCGCTGGTCGCTTGCTAGGGGTGCTTTGTATACAGATCCAAGCGCTCTTCCACAGACGACTTATGACTTCGTCATCGTAGGAGGTGAGTGCATGCCTTTTGATTGACATGTTGTACAACCCTGACGACTGCGCTATCCCCATATAGGAGGCACCGCAGGAAACGTCCTCGCCAATAGGCTCTCTGAGATTCCTTCGTTCTCCGTACTCGTCATAGAGGCCGGCCCTTCGTATGTACTTTTTTATGCTAGAAGAATATCAGCTAACGCTTTCAGCAGCCAGACAGCAGTCTTCGCAGATGAAGTGCCGTTCCTCGACATGACTTTGACTCCCGATACTTCTATTACGTGGAACTACACTACCACTGAACAATCCAACTTAGACAACAGAATAATTACATACCCTCGAGGCCGTGTCCTGGGTGGATCCAGCGTAGTTAGTGAGTATGTTTGCTCGACTCTCCCGTCGGAGCTTCGCTCGAACGATTCGACCACATAGATTTACTTGTATGGACAAGAGGGTCAGAGGATGATTATAATCGGCTAGCTGCTGCTACTGGGGAATCAGGTTGGGGCTGGAATAGCATGCTTGACTACATGATGAAGGTATGTGCAGTGTCATCGTGGAATCAGAGCTGATAGAATACATCGCGAAACAGAGTGAAGAACTTGTCCCTCCGAGCGATCATATGGACACCGCCGGGAAAGTGGACTCGTCTGTGCATGGTACGAACGGACCAATCCACATCAGCCTTGAGGGGTATCCGGTGAACATCGATCAGAGGATCATCGGCATGACAAACCTGACCCCACCCGTGTTTGACTACGTCGAAGATATGAATGCCGGTTTCCCAATCGGTCTAGGTATGGCACAGATATCACGTTGAATATCGATGAAATGCGCTCATAGTGTTTTCAGGTTGGGCACAGAGCGCAATCGGTACTAACGGACATCGAAGTGACTCTGCAACTGGGTATCTGGATCCTGTGCTTGGGCGAGCGAACCTCCACATCTTGGCCGAGACTACTGTGACAAAATTGATATCTACTGGGACACGGAATAATGAGCCCGTGTTTACGACAATCCAGATGGCACAGAGTTCGACAAGTGAGTACATGCGCTTCATTCTGAGTTCAAAGCTATAAGCATATGCCAGGTCAAACCTACACCGTCCATGCCAGCAAGGAAATCATCCTGTCCGCCGGCTCTATCAATACTCCACAGCTCATGATGCTCAGCGGAATAGGAGATTCCGCCACTTTAAAGTCGCTCGCGATTGAATCCATCGTTCACTCCCCGGGCGTTGGCCAGAATCTGATCGACCACCCGCTTATCACAAACAACTGGCTCGTAAACTCCACGAACACTAATGACGAGTACGCTCGTAACGGAACCCTCGCAGCGGAGGCGCTTGTCCAGTGGAACGCAACTGGAACTGGCCCTTTCGTAGACAATGGCGTGGAGCAAATCGGATGGGCCAGAGTGCCTGAGAGTATCTTCCAGCAGTACGGTGACCCGTCTGCCGGTCAGAACTCTCCTAATCTAGAATTTATCATTGCTGTGAGTGCTACAATGATTGAACTTTCACCTGCCATTACCTCATCCGTGTTGCAGAACGCATGGGTCTCTTGGATTCAGCCCCGACCCGCCACCGGTAATTACCTCAGCGTTCTCACAACTGTAGTATCTCCAGGATCCCGTGAGTATTATGACAGTCCATACATCATATCCACTGATCGCCGTTCCAGGTGGCGCCGTGAATCTCGCCTCCAACAGTATCTGGGACATGCCGTTAATAGATCCCGGCTACTTTTCTGACCCTTTCGACGTTGCCGCAATGGTGCACGCGATCAACATGTCGAAGACCTTCGTACAGGGTCCGACGTGGGAGGGATATGTCATCGATCCTGTTTCTGAACTCGCTGCGGCGCAGACGTACGAGGAGCTCGAGGCCTATGCTCGGAATCAGGTCACCACCATCTGGCACCCAGTTGGCACCGCTCGCATGCCAGCTAATTCAAGTGATTTGGAAGCCGTAGTCACTTCTGAGCTTCTCGTGAAGGGCGCCTCTGGCCTGCGCGTCGTTGACGCTTCGGTGCTTGTGAGTATTGCTCCCACAATCCTCGGAGTTTGCCTTCGCACTGACGCGTGAGAACCGATAGCCATACATCCCGGCCGCCCATACTCAAGCGCCTGTGTATGCTCTCGCAGAGAGAGCTGCCGATTTGATCAAGGTTGCGTGGCGCGTTTGACACTGTCCGTGGTCCCAATCTTTGTTGCTTTGTTGTGTCATCGCCACTGTCTTATGATGGATGTGAAACATTTTAACTCGTATCACTGAGGCAATGAAAATCTGGCAGATGTGTACCAGCCTTTTTTGGGTGGCCTCCGGACACCTACATTTGCGCATAGCTTGATGTCCGCAATGTAGGCGGTCTTACCCTGCTGCGTGACATATTGCGAGCGGCCGCTCGCGAGCCAGGCGATGACCACTGCGATCACGATTCCTGTTAGGAATGAATGCAGTCGTCGGGTCGGGGTGCACCTCACGAAACTTGTGCACTGTTCACGGGTGTTGGGCGCAAACCTGTCCAGGTGAGCGAAAGACATAACATTGAGTTTAGGCGGGCAACTTGCAGACAGACAATTGAAGGGCTTCAAGGGACTTGATGGTGTACACAAGGATAGTCGTGGTGGCAGAGTATGGATGGACAGGGCGACATCACATGGCTGAGTGCAGTCAGTCACAGCGAAGCTTGAGTCTTGAGAAGGCGATTGGAGTACGAAAGTCAAGCACTGCATTTCAAATAATACTTTGCAGACACGAAGATGGCAGCTTCGTTGGTGCATATGAGAGAACCTTCGACAATACATACCGGCATGCACTGATGCAGTCTGTATGCTCGACATATCACATTCCGTCCATACACGCTGGCAGACAGCCTCCCTAAGCAGCCTACAAGAGAGCTCCCCGTCTGAGTGAGGGGAAGACTGTCTGTGTTTTATAGATTGGCAGAGGAAAGGAAGGCTGGCCATCATAGTGCATCAGCAAAACCAAGTTCGACGCGTAAGACGATGTATTAGTTATGTATACTCACCGTGATTGTGTCTAGTTGATATGCAATTACACGCTTGTCCCAATACGGGACATGATTACAAAGTGGTCGACAGGCAGGTGGCGCGCGTGCAATCTAACAGCCACAAAGGTAGCACGTGATAATGGATTGTGGACTCGTCGTCAGAATGTCACTCGGTTGTATGAATGCCCCGAGATTGTGACATATGGTAAGGCCTGGTACGGGCATGCAGTACAGCAACATTAATGTCCTAATTACAACCATACTGTATGTTGTAGGCATTCCAACATTGTATGCTGACCAATGCGACACAGGACATGATGTAAGAGTGCACTTTTACCGATCGCACAGATAACAAGAGTTTAAAATTCATCACATTAGTATATCTATAGTGTCTCCGAAGTTCGGTCCTGAACCTGGTTCTGAACCGCAAACTGGCCGAACTGAACCTAGGTTCAGGTTCGGTCCAGTCCAGGTTCGGGCATTTGGGCAGCAGGTCCGGTTCATGGTTCATGAGCTGCCCGTGGGACCTTGAACCTGGTTCGGACCCGGACCGAACCGCGAACCGAGTAAACAGTATAAGTTCACTAACAGCTGCAAAACAGATGAGGTCAGTAGCCATGGGACATGAGCACAAGGAATACTTACTCAGTGAAACGTACAATGAGGTTGAGTAGAGGGTATTGCGACTGCTCGCCAGCATCGGGAGTTTTGCGTCTGCAGCTGACATACCCAATTTGGGCAGGGAGCGGCATATCCCGATGGCTGGCAGTGAGATCACTAATGCTGCTCGGAAAGCCGCGCGCGCTCACCATATGGGGTCAAGACATTGTTCAATGTTGTTTCTGGCACATGCTCACACAGGCCAAAAATCTCGGTA